CAAAACTGCACATGGCACACAGCCAAGTTTTCTCATTTCCAGCCTGCGGTAGTCTCTTTCATAGTGGTAGTCTATGTATGATACTAGAACTGCGTTAATTCCCCTACTCCCAAGTCGAAAGGGTGAAGTGGGTCTTGTTAATGGTTAGTGCGGTAAACTAGTGTATTTGACCTATAACGTAAAGGACTACTGCCGACTTTTTGTTGCGGCATATTGCTAGACATGAAGTGCCTCTACATCAGAAAGAGAGGTTGAGATGCAGAAACTCTTGCACTCTTTTTATTTAGTCGTAGTTACCCATGCGTGTTGCTTTTAATGCGTTTTGTTTCATTTCGACGACGAACATCACTGCATCCGTTGGCCGTCTATCAGCATCGCCCATACGGTGAATAGTTTCAAATCATTTCTGTGATGTAGAAGTTTGTGGTGGAAGTTTTGAGGAAGGAATACGTCTTACATTTTAATGGTTTTCGCATGAAAGAGGGTTGTTTCACATTTAGCTATACTTTTCCGTTCAATATCTATCTTGATCGCAAACAAAGTCGCCTCGTAGCCTCTGTGACTATTTCATTTTTTGGCTTTCAAATTTCTTCATACCGATGACCATTCTATGGGAATTCTACTCTCTTAAACCATTTGTAATTTGTAGTTCATGGCTTACAGTTTGCGCTTTTTCTTTCATCCGACTTGTCTTCATTATGGGCATGCTACAATACAAGTCAGCATTTCCCCAATATTCCATTCTTGGGCGTTTTTTCTGGTGAGTGGTCGTTCGGGAATCCATTCATGGTGTCAAATCTTGTGAAATATTGCCGATGTGCCCTCGTCTTTCATCGAGCTCAATCGATTCAAAGAATTGGAGCACTTCGTGAGGTTTCGGTAACGGACTGATATCACTGGAGATCAGCATATCAGGCACAGCTGGCTGCGACCTTACTCTTAGAGCCTCATTTGTTATTCATTTTACTACATCTTCTTTCTTATTTAGACCCAAATATACTCGCTTGAAGTCAAAGACTGCGCCGGAACCGACTAATCGTCAGGGTCTTTAAGTGTTCTTACATTCGTCTTTCCTGAAATTTGTACAAGCATCCGTAACTCGTTATGACTCTGCCACGTCACGTAGTTGTTAAATGGTGTGGACTGATGACTTATTCAAGCGCTCTGCAGCTTCAGCAGAAATTTGTCGAACTTTTGCTTAGTAAGAAGCGTCAGCAGAATGGTGCGAAGGATGTAACCCTGCCCGTTCACAACACAGTTCTGATGTTGGAGCACAGCCCTGTTTATACGATAGGCGTGAGAACGGCGCACTATGACGAACTAGAGGAGAAGCGTTTGCGGAGCCTAGGGGCTGATTTTCGGCGTACCGACCGTGGAGGCTTGATCACTTTTCATGGCCCTGGCCAGCTGGTTGTGTACCCGATTCTCGCCCTCTCTGACTTTCGATCCAGTTGTGCTGTCAAGTGGTACGTGACCAAATTGGAGCAGTGTTTGATCGACGTTTGCGGACGACTTGGTCTAAATGCTTACGCGCCTGGCGTCCCTTATACCGGGGTTTGGGTAAACGACCACAA